CTCAAAAATCGCAATGGCATGGTCTAGACTCAGTGAGCGTGAGAGAACTGAATTTAATTTTTGTTTGTATCACCAGAAGAAAACTAGAATGATTTATTTTCAAACCAAACAACGGTGATGGAACAATATTTACTAATGATCCATTTAAAATATTGTGGATCATTAGTATTCAATATTAAGCTAAAGTTATATTTAATAATCAAATCTATATTGGTTTAACAGTCCTAGAACTCGTACACAAGTAAACAACTTACGAATGATGATTATTGTATTGCTAAATGAATTATCTAAGTTTTTTTAAAAATTCAGTCTCTGTTATTTAGACACAGACAGTTCCTTTTATAATATTAAAAGTAGTATTACAAATTAAGAAAATCTTAAATCTGTTTGTTACCAGTAATAATTATGATGTAGATCATCCATGCGTTCGGAAACGAGGAAAAACAGATAGGATACATGAGTAGGGAGTAATATTCAATTGTACATATGTCTTCGCACTCCGCGTGTAATGAGTAAATAAATGATTAATAAAAATTATTTTTTTTTTGCAATAAGTTCTTTTTTCATGAGTAATTACAATTGATTTAATGAGTAATTATAATTTTTTATGAGTAATTACAATTTACTTAATGAGTAATATAATTTTTTGAGTAATTACAATTAGTTTTTTAGGAGTAATAATTGCAATTAGTTTTCTTCATGAGTAATTAAAATTCATTTAATGAGTAATCTATACTTATTTAATACGCAAGCAGGTTTTTTGTGACAATTACTCCTCCGAAACTACTGAACCGATTGACATGTTTTTGGTGTCATTGGAAAGAGGGTAACGTGAAGTTGTGCAGGAAACTTTCTTTTTAGGTAAATAATGAGGTATTGAGGCCCTGGAGCCCTTTAAAGTTTCGTATTTCTCCATAAGGATAACATGGGAGATAATTTTTATTTACAGAAACATATGTTTGCTACTTGAAAATAGTCAAAGTCTACTACATAATAATTGCTGTGTATTATGACTCTTAATGTATACCTACTACATTTCAATCAAGGATTGTGTACCTTAAAGTTTACCCATAATGGATCTTAATACTTTATTTTAATGCTGGGAATAGTAAAATTTAGTGGAGAACAAGTTACCATGATTTAGAAAACTTTACTATAATAATTTATGTATTTAAATCACAAATCTTTGACATTATTAATTCATTTGAAACTAAACAGCTGATCGACAAATCAAACAAATCATCTACTTCATGTGAATAATGTTATTACACATAGTTTTTTTAACCATTCTTTTTTACTTGTGGGTGTATTTTGAGTTTGCAGTTATGAAAGCACCAAGCCAAGTAACTTTTATCTAATTTTCTTTATAAACTAACAGTATTATTGAATTAATACATGAACTTGACAAGTCAGGTAATTAATTGTCAGTATACCAAGGGGAAGAAGAGTGGGCCCTTAAAAACAGACGAAGGCGGAGACACCTATCTAGAAAATCCAACTGAGTTTTTAAATATAGAGGTCAGTGGATGGCCAAGAAACAGATTAGACTAATAAAAGGGGGCAGTGGTTTTATTGATGAGGAATATTAATATATCAAAAAGGGCACAAGGCTTCATGTGATCAGAATCAATGGTTAACAACTTAATAGAATGTAAAGTCTTAACTGGAACAAGTGAGTGGGGACATATTTTGATTTCGAGGATAAAGATTTACCCGTCTGAAACAAACTTACCTTTCAAAATGGAAAGATGCTAATTTCTGTTACCTTTGGCATTTGCAGCGCTGTTCTTACCCAGACCAATTGAGTCATGAGCAACTATATTATATGTTGTTTTAAGTCAGGCTACATCTTTTAATAGGATACGCATATTCGTTACGGAAAACTCTGACCAGGGTAATCTTCCTGAAGGTAACTTTAAGGCTAAAATCGTAGTATTCATGGAAGTGATTTTGTGATAAAGATATTGTTTTTTAGTGTTTATTTTTAAAAGTGTGTTTTCTTCAAGCAGCATTTTTATGACCCTCAAAATATGCTACATAGGCCTACCGGTTTGATATGATAAAATTGTTTGTTAAATGTGTTTTAAAAATCTTTAAAAAATAACTACCTTATAACCTTGCTCGCTGCCTATAACATACTTGAACCTGAACACTTATTAATTTACTAAATATAATACACATACAGCTAGAAAATGGCTGAACTGCTTCCCTTCCAAGGCTTCATTATTACTGCATTTAATTTTCGACGTCGAGTTAATATACAGGATGGTAAAAAAGTCCCTGGACAGTTAAATATTTTAAAAAATTATGAAGATAGAGCTACAATACTTGGTACAAAGTTACAGGGCATAAAACTATATTTTAACACATATTCAGTGATCCAATAACTCTTCAGGGGGACGGCCCACAAGGAGTCGGAAGAAAATCTTAAAAGGAAGCATAAGTCAATATGCACATCAAATTAAAGGTACTTTTTAGTAAAATACAATGCCGCAAACCGCACTTCAAAAGGTTGATCCTGCGCAAAATGACAGTTGTTCAAAGATTCATTTAATTAACATTGCTATTATACGCTTTCTCCTCAGGGGGCACAGCCCTAGGAATCGGAAGAAAATTGTTAACGTAAAAATAGGTCGATATGCACATCAAATTAAAGGTCTTCACTTGTAGATTACGATGCCGTAAATTCAAGCTCAAAAAAATGCCTGAGTAAAAAATGGCAGTCGTTCAAAGATTCAAAATGGCGGGTTCAAGAAATCTTTGAACATCTGCCATTTTGCGCTGGATCAACCTTTTGAAGTGCGGTTTGCGGCATTGTATTCTACTAAAAAAGACCTTAAATTTGATGTGCATATTGACCTATGCTTCCATTTAAGATTTTTTCCGACTCCTTGTGGGCCGTCCCCCTGAAGAGTTATTGGATCACTGAATATGTGTTAAAATAGAGTTTTATGCCCTGTAACTTTGTACCAAGTATTGTAGCTCTATCTTCATTATTTTTTAAAATATTTAACTGTCCAGGGACTTTTTTACCACCCTGTATAATGCGATGAATTTGTTTTCTAAATTAATATGTCATTTTGCGGGGCATTGAACCGCACAGGTCCACTAGTTAATCATTTAAACTAAGGACTAAGGTTTAATTTAATTCATTTTTCCGCTTCAGCCCGTTGTAGCTGATATGCCACTGCGACCAGCCTTGCCATGAGTTTATTTACATATGCCCATTCCTCGGAGCACCTCGGTTGAGCACACCATTTATGATCCAACTCCCAAGAATATCATACTGATGCTGGAGCTCCTCAGTGCTCATCGTTTTAAGTTTTTGAATCGTATCTTCAGCTTCCAACGCATTAGCGATATGAATTAGCTGCTCGCTTATAGTCCGAAGGTGATCCTCGAGGTGTTCTGCCTCAATTGTATTAGCAATATCAATCAACTCCTGGTCGGTAAATAATGTTTCATAGTCAGACATGTTGATCGAGCAGTGGTGATACTTTCTTGGCTAAAGGATGAATGAACAGTGAAAAACGTTTGGACCAGTTCCAACCGTAACGTCCCAACGCTACCTATTGAGCAACTCGTGAACTAACAGTGAGGATATTTAGTCAACCACTACAGACCACAGATGTTGACGAACATATGTTGAGATGACAGAGACAGTGGAGATACAACGTCGGAGGGACCACCAGCAGGTGTTGGCTGTAACCACCTGTTACGATGATATGTTATGTATGAGAGGAGCAACCCCCTCTGACACTCCCTAAGCACTGTTTACTACGCATCATATCCTGTACATCTCTTGCGGAGGGATGCTGGAGGTGGCAAAGTGTAATAGGGGAAAGTGGGGGAATTGGGCGCACCTAACCTAAATCAACTATAACTTTGACATTTTAAAAGCAAATCTGTTAATAATATCATGAATTGATAGCTAATTTATTCTAGTACATTATATCTATTGTAAGAAAGATGTTTCATAAATCTTTTTTTTTTTTTAAATATATAACTTTGCATTTGCGCCCAATTGCACTACCGCTGGGTAATTGGGCGCAAACTGTCGGGTAATTGGGCGCGTGGTGGAAGCTTAGGTACTTAAACAATAAAGTAGTCCAAATTCAATGACATGATGTTTATTATAAAAATACCCCCGCCGCAGCAAACCTGCCGACTCAGCGAATTTCCATTTGTCTGAATTGATTTTCAGTTAAATATATTTTAATAACATTAGGTTTAATGAGTACCTAGGTTTGCTGCTACAAGGAAACTAATAAAGTGTGTTTTTGAGTAAAATATTGATAGCTTAGTACAAAATAAATAAATTTGCCAAGTTTGATCAAAATATATCCATAAACAAGCAAACTACAACATTTGACAATATTCTCCATAAGAATAACATGGGAATTTTAAATTAAAAATTTTTTTAAATTTTCTCCGTTACTAAAAACCGAACAAAAATACTTTTATAAACTAAATTATTTGTTTTTTTAAGCTCTTTAAAAAGGTCTAAAGAGATATTGGGAAATTTTGTGTTTTGAGGGTCAAAAGTGAGAAAAACCAATTTTTACCCCATTAAACCCCCCGTAAAGCCCCGTTCCTATGGTCCGATCATGCTGGTTCGCGAACTCATTCAAGTTTATCCCGCTTTACACCTTTAAACCAAATTTCATCAAAATCGGACAAAAATTACTCAAGTTATCGCGTTCACGGACGTATATATATATATATATATATATATATATATATAAGTCTATATATATATACATATATAAAAATTTGAACGAATAGTGTTTTTGGCCTCTGGGGACATCAAAATGAAAAAGTAAATCGGTCCCGGGTCTAGGTCTTACCGTGCCACCTACGGTAATAGCTACTTCCCTATAGGGAAATTCGCTAAAAACAAGTAAGTACTGTAGTAAGTAATTTTAATTTTTAGGAAATTAGTTTTAATAGGAAAAATGTGTTCAAAAATTTGTAAAAAACATGTGTAGGAAACATTTTTTCTAAAATGTGTATTTACAGAAGTCACAGATGTAGTCCTTGGCTGAATCCCATCCCGTACATTCTGAATGGCTCCAAGACGAGCACATGACACATCTATACCAAAGCTCGTTGTCTTTGCCTATGTCCCCACATATGGAACATATGTCTAAAGTTGTTTTTTCGACAATGTTGGGGTCTACGAGATCAATGATGTCATCGTCTTGATCTTGGAAGAGAGGTGCTTCTTCTTCGATGTCCGACTCATCCGATGTGTCCTTCTTTTTTCGTTTTTTCGGCTTCATTTTGTTGTTGTTTGAACCTTTTTCAGTTTTTATTTCATCCATATTTTACATTCTGGCAGCCTTCTTGAGTTCTCTGTTCTTTTTCTTTGACAAGTTAAGTAGTGGAGAACTACCGGTTTTACCCCACTTGGGGCACGTTTTCCCATAAGAAATAACATGGGATCATTTTTTGGCCACTAAAATCAAAAATCCTGATCTTTGCCTAAATATCCCTATATAATTGTCAAACCTTATTTCTTACTTATTCCCCATAAATATATTCGATATTAAGCTAAAAAAGCTATTTCTTATATTTATTGACCCTTACAAGTGTAAATTTAGAGTAGTGATGAACCCAGAAAGACATGACACTTTAGGCACGTTTTCCCCATAAGAATAACATGGTGAGCTTTTTTTGACCACTTTTTTAAAAATCCAGCTCTCGGCCAATATACTCCTATATTAATGTTCAATACCATTGTATAACTTCATTACTATTTCAAATCCACATGCATTCACAAGTATATTCTCAAAATCATCAACTTGACAGTGCGAGGTTTGTACGCGAACTCGGGCGCGCTCCCGGCTCATGGCGCGCTCCCTTGGACATCCTTAGTGGAAATCCATGAGTTCTGGCTACTTGGGAATCCAAGCCATTTGACATACAATAAATCACCCTTCCTCCTAATTACCTTTTCTATCAAATACATGTCTTTATACTTGGTCTTTAACAACTCCTCTGTATAGAAGCCTCCCCTGATTATATTACCATTTTCATCTTTCAAGATATAAGTCACAGGCTTTGTATTCTTTACTTCTGCTATTGTAAATAGTTCCCCTGTCCAATTCGGAGTATAACCTTTACTAAAAACATGTTTATACTTGGAAATTCTCACACTATCACCTACCTTATATCTTGGCTTTTTAACTTGCACTACTTTAGAAGTCAACCTCTCATGCACATATTTACTATTCTTAATATTCACTTGGTTTGGCTTCATACCTATAGATCTATGCACCTTATTATTATATTTTCGAATTAACTTTGGAAGTAAATCCAACCATTTATAACTTCCCTGAGAACTAAATTCCCTATATAACCAATTCTTTAAAGTTCTCTGAAACCTCTCCACAATTGCAGCCTTAGTTGTAGAAAAAGTGTGATAGTGATTAATATTTAAGTTTTTCATTAGTTTGCTAAAATATTGATTAAAAAATTCTTTTCCATTGTCAGATTGAATGTTTTTAACCCCCTTTGGTAGAATGGTTTTAATGGCTTCTGTAACCACTAACCCTGTCTTATTCTTTAGTGGAGCAGCATAAGCTTTTTTAGAAAATGTATCTATTAAAGTTAAAATATATTTATTGCCAGAATTTTCTCTAGCATAGTTTTGCATATCAATTAAATCTATTTGTATGGTTTCGTTTATACCCAATACTTTAAAAGACCTTCTAATGAAATTCTTTCTTGCAGGCTTATGAAGTTCGTATGCAATTTCATTCATTTTTTATAACATCATCCTTTCCTGTAACTCTAAATACATCACCATTAGCCCCAATCAATAGATTATCTTCCATTCTTTTAAATACATAGTTTTCTGGTATATATGGTCTATTATCTATATACTTAAATCCACTCAAAGATGTGGGGTCAGCAACTAATAAATCAGGATTATATTCCATCAAATTAAAATTTTTTTCTCCATATACAAATTTTGATCCATCGTAATGCATAGATTGTGACATTAGACAAATATCATCCGAATGTTCCCCCTCTGGTAGATTTCTTATGAATTGATTTTTGGCATCCCAACATTTTTCTTTTTTATCAAAAGTTATAGTCTGTTCTTTTATAACACAGTCAGTTTCATCAATGACAGGTTTAACACGTACTAACCTTTTATTATAAAAACTCCAATAGCCTGCTTCCATTTTTGGAACTTGTGAAACATTCACAGCATCTTTACTATCTGTACCTTCCATCAAATTGCTAAGTTTCTGTTTCTTAGCATTCCAAACACCATTCTCTGATTCTAAAAATTCATAATTATTATCATCTTGTATAAATTTACCATCTTCTTTTCGTATTAAAGTCTGTTGTAAAGTGGGCACATCATCTAAACTTTCACCCTTTTCTACATTAGTAATTTTCCGCTTCTTAGCATTCCAAACACCATTCTCTGATTCTAAAAATTCAAAATTATTATTGTCTTGTACAAATGTACCACCATCTGTTCGTATTAAAGTCTGTTGTAAAGTGGGCACATCATCTAAACTTTCACCCTTTTTCACATTAGTAATTTTCTGTTTTTTAGCATTCCAATTTTTATTCTTAGATTCTAAAAACTCATATTTAGTTTTACCTTGTAAAAAGACATCACCTTTTCTAGTTAATGTCTGTCTCAAAGTTGATACATCATCTACAAACTCCCCATCTTTAACATTACCAATTTTACGGTTTAAACCATTCCAACTATCGTCTTGTAAATTTAAAGTAGGTTCACTACTAGCCCTGGGTTCTGCAGGCTTATTATATGGATTATATAAACGATAAAATTTATCTATAAACATATTTTTATTTAATAAATAATTCCACTTTCTCTCAATTCCTCAATAATGGAATCTATTTCATTATCCACTCCTGAGTTACCGGCTTGGCGACATAGCCAAAGAAGTCTTAACCTATCTACAAGCTCATTAGGATCATCCCAATAAATATAGTCTATTTTATTACCAGTCACTTGTCTTAAACCTTCACCAACAGATTTAAAAAGAGGTTTAATTATATTAAGATATTTAGTATGTCTATTACTTGAAATTGGTGCACCATCTTTGTAACTCTTTAAATGTCCATTTGTAGCTTCCAAAATCTCTTTATAATTTTGCAAATCAGCTTGAGTATAGTTCTCAGGTTCTTTTAAAGTTAACAACTGCCACAAACCTTTTGTCCCCTTGTAGGTTTTATTTGCAACTGTAACATCATCATTGGCAATATCAACTTCCTTATTTCCAATAAAAAATTTATTTGCTTCTCGTCTAATACCATATGTAGTGTCTGTCATACTACTTTTACTGAGGTAATTTCCTAAATAGTCTGATGCTAAAAGACCAAAATCTAATTTCTGTGGAGTGGATTGCTGTAATGGTTGCAATCTTGGTATCATTGATATTCTAGATGGAGTCATTGGGAGTATCTCCATTTGAGGCCTCTCTGTTTTACCAATAGATGTGATTTTTTTTAATTCTTGTAATGGCTCTATTAAAGGTTGGAATGTTTGGAACCTCTCTTCAGCCTCTAGAAACTTGCCACGTTTTAAAGCTCTATATTTCTCTCGTATTTGATTTGCAGAGTCAACCAATTCTTGTTGAATGTTTTTCATCTTTTATTTACATTTTATTTATCTCATTTGACAAAGGATTGTACTCAAACACTTTATCATGTATTATCAAACAATATGCAGATGTATTTGCTGGCACATTTTCTGCAGTTTCAATATCTAATTTAATATCAACAATTCCTTCCTTCACTGTTTCGTTCTGTCTAGAACAGTCTATTACAATTAGTGGATATTTCTTCATAAACTCAGCCCTACTAATCATAGGATCTGGGATAGTATTATAGTAAGTCTCTCTAAACCTCATAAACATCTCATAAGCTTTAGAGACATCTCCATTTTCAAAGTCGAGATTTAAATCACTATAAGGATAATATTCAGAGTTTAGAAATACTTTGAGATTTTTTAATTTACAGTGATCAAATTCATCAGTTCTTTTTCGTGCACTATTATCCCTAGCTGTTTGAAAACCAAATATAATATACCTAGGCTTCTCCAAACTTGAAGACGTCTTTACTGACCATGTATGTCTTGTGGTATTGGGATATGATGGAAGTTCATGCAGCTCTAAGCTTCTAAATGCAATTTGCAAATTTTTATTTTGCAATAACATCTTTTGTAATTGTAACTTCTCTCCATCTGATGGTATCACGTGTGGCATTACCCATTGAATTGAGTTAAGTGTAATTTTAGGAATCGAATCAGCAGTGCCACTGGCTGGAGCACTAGTGGTTGTTAATATACAATTCAAATCATTTTTGGATCTTTTCAACACCAATTCTTGTTTGACATTTACTAATACCTTATTAAAATCCTCGAATACACCCATTAACAGCTCTAATGGCAAACAAGTACTAAACTTGCCACCTTTATGGAACTCTTTTAAATTCGTGTCAGAATCAAACGCTACATTTGACAATTTAGTAGTTTTATTGCAAGAGCTCAATATTTTCATAAGACTAGAAATTCCTGGGTTTCTTACAATGTCTATTTCTTTACCTGCAACTTCGTATCTAATTTCATCAAATAAGAACGCAAATGCATTATTTATAAAATGACCTTTATCATGATTTTCAATTTCTCCCTTAATATACAGATAACTCCTACATGGGAGGGTTAGCAAATCTTGATTATTAATACATATTCGAATTTCATCAGAATTATTTATTGCCAAAGTGTTGTGGGGAACATAAGAGTGATTTGTAATTTTAACCACACTATCGTCGAATTGGGATTTCCCTGTAACGTCTAGAAAATCTTCCATTTTTATTAATAGAAAATTTTAACTTTAGTCCTATTGATTTTAGGAACCTAGCATTTTGTACACTTATAGATAAATTCTTATAAATTCTCATATCTTTTTTATATGACAAGTAATTGTAGTTTCTTCTCCGTTAAAGTCAATTGCCTTGTCGTGTTGATCGGCAAATGTAATACTGACAACATCTAAACTTCTCTTGTTTACAGGAAAATATATAATATTTCTTGGAACTTCAATAATTTTGTAGCCAGGAGGAGCTTCTGGATAAAAGCTATGTATGGTGTGTGATTTGTTGCCATTTAAATAGGACCCGTTTGCAATATTACATTTTACTCTAATCACATTTACATTATTAATGTTTATTTTATTTGTAGATTCAAACTGAACACCAGGAGTAGAAACACCTTTAAATCCCAATAAAACAGACCCTAAACATGGTTTTGTAAAATCAAACACATGGCTAGAAA